TAACTTCTAGGGTAATGTTAACTACATTTTTTGTCAGAATAAATTAATCAAAAATTAATATTGAAAATTATTTTCTCATAGTGATAAATGGACCTACTCATGGGTCGGATGATGTGCCTGAATCCAAAAGCTTGTTTAAAATTTTGAAAGACTTGGATATAAATATTAAATCCATTAAATGAGTTTAGACAAATAAATAAGGCCTAATAAAAATATAAGGTTGGGCTTAGGTTTCACCATTTAAGGCTTGGGTCCGACCCAAAATTTAAAAAATATTTTTTATCATAAAGGGATAAAGCTCATTTGCTTAATTTTTTATAATAAATAAAGCCTATTTGCTTTATTATTTATAATATGATAAAACCTATTTTTTTTTACAAAATAATGATTTAATTTTAAATTGTATTAAATAAAATTAAATTAGACCCAAGCCCAAATGAATTATAAATTAAATTAAAATTAATTAAATTAGTTAAATTAATAATTTACCAAAAAAAAAAAAACTCTTTCCCCTTATTTTAAATATTAATTCTTTGAACGGACTTAAACTTTATCATTACATGTAAGAACGGGTTTCAATAATAAAAAATAAGATCCAAAAAATCAGACCAACCCATAAGCAGGTATAATAATAAAACTTTCTCATCTTTTAGATTGAGAATCAAATCATTTTTTACGATAATAATCTTATCACCAGTAATTTAAAATCACTACTACTTAAGATTTTTAAATTGCTATTAAATTACTTAGGATGTAATTATTGAATGCATATCACCATAATTTTTAAATTGATAATCCTATACCAAGCACTCTCTAAACGCTATTTACTTTATAATGCACGTAATATATAAGGATCTGTCTATTGTAGTAAAATGGGTGTATAAGAAGTCTTTGAACTATGCTGTGACTTTGTGTACTCAATCATCTAACTGTTCTCATTAAAATAATTATTAGAACTACTTCAATAAAATGTTTTTGCTTTTTAAAGATAAGAAAGGTTGACTACATGATATCTCAATATTTGCTAATACTTTTTTTGGTATCAATATATAAAAAAAAAGTGTACAATGTAATACCATTGGTTAATTTTGACATACAGCTCAATGAACTAATTTTACTAAAATAATTATACTTACTCCAATAACTATTTTTTCTTACATAATAAGAGATGAATAATACATAGGTGGTAGTTGAGCGAGTGGATGTGTTGTATCACTTTAGACCGTGTCATTCTAGAAAATTACAAAAATCTAAAACATTTTAAAAATAAAAAATTCTCAAAAAATAAAAATAAAAAAATTGAAATTTTAATAAAATTCCAAAAAATTTTAAAAAAATTTTGAAAAATTCAAAAAAATATAAAAAATAAAAATGGTAAGATTTAAACGATATGAAAAATCTTCAGAATTTTTATAAAATTTTTTACAACTTTTTAAAAATTTTTATATTTTTCAAAAATTTTTAGATTTTTAATTTTAACTATTTTTAAGTTTTTGTGAATTTTTGGAATGTTAAAATTTGTTTATTGTTATTAAAATCTTCATTTTTTAAAAATTTTCAAAAATTTTTTGAGATTGTTTGAATTTTTTTAATTTTTGAAAAATTTTGAAATTTTTTTAAGTTTCCTTAAATTTTTTTAATTTTTTAAAACTTTTGAAATATTTTAGAGTTTTTTATTATTTTAAAAAAATTTTGGAATATTTTATAATTTTTTAAGAATTCTTTTGAAAATTTTCTTTTAAAGATGATGTGGAATCGATGATGTGATGCTGATTAGACTTTTTGACATGTGTCAACATCTTATGGAATATTCATACTACATCAGTAAAATTGACTAATGGCGTTAATCCGAGGGATCAACATGAAAATAGAATGAAAATTGAGGTATGAATCTAATACTTTTATTTCTTTAGATTTTAAATTGATAAAAAATATATAATTCATGGGCCATTTTTATATTTAACCCTTTTTTTTTATTTATCTAAGATGAACGTAGTCTATGCGAGAAAGGGGGAAATAGTCTTAGTTCAAAATCAAAACCTCCACATTTTCTTAAGCATTTCTTAACTACTAGACCGAAGAATTAAAGACCGACTATGTCATTTTAAGTTATTTTATGGTATTGAAAATCCAACTCATTTTGATTTTGAATGGCTTTATATTCAAGTCATTTTTTATATAAATCATCCCATTTTAAACGGTTAATTCAATCAAATTGGACCGAAAAGTCCACATTTACATCATGTACAGCAAGTTCCATGTCTTTCCCACCCAAACATAAAATTATATCATCTTATTACTTATATAGTTGTGTTTAGAGGTGGTAAAATTTGAGTTGATCTAAAAAGCTCGCTTAATTAATCTGGACTTATTATTGATTGATTTAATTTAACTAAAAAAATCAACAATTTGACCTAACTTGATTCAAACATGAATTGATCCGAATCTAAATTAATTTGATTTCAAATTGAACCAAACTCGATTTGATTCAAATTCAAATTGATTTGAGCATGAATTTATGTGAATCTAAATTCATTTTAAACAGAATTGATTTGAATCCAAATCTAAAATGATTTGATTTTAAATTTAAGAGTATTAGTAAATATTTAAATGTCATAATCAATGACCAATTTAGTATATTATGGTAAATATTTAAATGTCACAATTAATCGACGAGCCTCGCGCACCATTTTTGTGTTAAAGCCTCACGCCAACACGGTCGAGGCATCCTGCATGCCATTTCGCGTTAACGCTTTCACACCAACATACTCAACGCATCCTGCTTACCATTTTTGCATTGGGGCTCTCACACCAACATGCTCAATGCGCTATGTGCGTCACACTCATTCTCGCGTTAAAGCTTTCATGCTGACACGCCCAATGCGCCTTGTGCGCCATACAAAAATTGGCATTGTCGTCAACAGGAAACTGCACATGGTAAGGTACATTTTTCTTGTTGTTTTTTACACCTACACTAGGGTAATATTGTTTCATCTTTTTCCTTAATGCTTATGCGCAAATGTTGCTATATTCTTTCTAACATACTTTCTAAAACTACAAATATAGTTTTCCTTAAATTTTTTGAGAGAATTACAACCCCATTGCATTGTCTTCACGGTACAAAATAGGCCCTTGAAAGGCTAAGTCATTGCCTAATGGACTTATAACTCATCATTACTTGATCTTCATGAAAATGTAGAAATAAACTTGTTTGAATTGTGTTAACTTTCACACGTACGAATTTAAATCTTAAATTGTAAATTTTAAATTGCTTTCACAATTTAAAATTTAAAAGCAATAAATATTGCTAACAACCCCTGCACACTATTGCGTCATGTGTTCTACAAAGTCGTATAATTCAGAAACAAGGATGCATGTCTCATATTGCACCCAAAAACAGGCTTCATTCACTCGTACCACGTGCTCTCCACACATATGGGATAGAAAATTTTTTATAAGTCCACACCTCCTAACTTCTATACCTTGACACAACATGCCATCCACAAGGTTCGCCAAGACAAAATCCCTCAACCAACAGATAATTGCCATCAGCACAGCTCGCGAAGACAATGTCCCTCAACCAACAGAAACAACTCATTAGCATGGCTCACCTTCACAAAGTCTCTCAACCAACAAGTACGCACTGCTGATAAGGTTCGCCAAGATGAGGTCCCTCGACTCGAACTACTCGCCAAGACCTTGATGACATCGTTACAAAAAGTTTGAGGGTGGTTATTTTATAACTCTCACCAGATCTGAAGGGCAATTGTTATACCTACTCACTTAGTCAACAAAGTCAACCTCTATACTCACCGACACACTTGACTGTCACGTCACCACCAAAGAAGATCAACATTCAAGCTCCTTGTCACTATACGGGCTCGTCTCTACCCCTTTGCCTATGGGAATAACTCACCCAACTACTACCACTAACGTTCCATCAGTGCATCACCTTATAATAGACTAACTGACTTCCAATTCGTGTAGGATCAATAAATTCAACCCATTTGATATCATTAAATATAACTCACAATCACCCACCCATCCTTGAATTTTTCATAGACTTCCTATCAACTGTCAACAACTCTGGTCGCATCACCGCCCATATATAGAATTCTGAACCTTTGTCTCCTAAGCTTCCTTCATACTCTCTACAACTTACCTTCTTCCTTAAAAAAACCTTAGACACTTGACTGACTTAAGCGTTGCAACACGTCTCAAGCGTTGCAACACGTCTCAAAGAACCAACTTTGAAACTCTATAACCGTGCTTTCTTGCTGCAAATTCAAAACTTCCCTAAACCACCTTCCATGTCATCTCAAAGCTCCTTACCTAACCACCTCCAAAAACACCATCAACTATCTTATTGTTGTAAACATACCTCCATATATATATATATATATATATATAGTTGTATTACATGCTATAACCTGGGTGTGTAATAACAAAAATCTAGGTCTTGGCAACTTTGGAAGTGTTCGCTGAGATTGACAAGGGATACCATTGGAGTTGTCGAGAGGAAGGCTAACTTTTTTGCCCGCCCTTGCAAAAATGGGCGTTGAATGCTCACATTTTATTCATGCTTGGTTGTAATTGGTACTTTTGAGTCACTGGGTTTTGGTGATATGGAGATTGTCATCCCCAGTGTTTCTTCCCTAACCTGGGATAGACTTTTTGTAATTGATCCTTTCTATTAATAAAATTGTCATTGGTTGAACAACTATATAATATATAATCTATTTACTCAGTTTACTAAAGCCAACTCTTCATTTTCCTATATATCGAAGAATTTTTATCCATAAACGAGTGAACAATTTTAATAATTTTAATAATTAAGAAGAGGTTATTGCAACCATAGAAAGATAAAAACTAGAATTCCAATTGAATACTTACGTGAAAGACCCATAACTTTTTTGTAAGTGACAGTTCCAAATGACACCAAACATGAACTGAGTATATTTTACACTCACAGTTTAGACCTCCTGTGGACAATCATAAAATTAGAACCATTTCTTCACTTTCCTATCAAAGATCCCAGGTCCATAAGTTGAGATAGAAACAGTCCAAAGAAGTGGAAACTGCAACCACACGAAGAGACAAATTGGAATGGCTGCTAGCAACACGATAGGAATCACTAGCTCTAATTGGCCCTTTAGCATGATAATAACTGTGGAGCAAAAAGCTACCATCATTGTCGCAATAGAAATGAAGAGGGCCAAAAGTCCGATAATCAATTTCGTGGGCAACGATGTGAGGAAATCATCTTTTGAATATCGTGATGTGAGGATGCCAACAAATACCAACACTGAAGTGGAAGAAGAAAAGAGAGAAACAGCATCCAAGATTATGAATAGCTTGAAAAGTTTTTTGGTTAAGAGTATGGGAATACCAGTGTCTTGATTGTTGCCTCCTGGAACGGTGAAAAGAGCAGCGAACGTAATGGTGATGATAAGAGTGCCAACAATCGTAGATGATTGTGCTATATCCTTCATCCATTGTTCCCCCTTTTTTACCAAGTTGGCATGAATTTGATCAAATACTTCATAAGGAGTTTTCCCGTTACCATTTTCACGTTCTTTAAATGCTGGTGGTACAATGCTTTCTACCTCCTGAATTCATAATTCATAATTCATAAATGAGAAATAGATATACAATAAGCCAAAAGATTTCTTAGGGTTTTTCTTTTTCATATTTATTTTCTAATTATACATAACATACTTGAGTGAATTACATATTTCATTGTTATGTCACTTTTTTCTAAACTTCAAATTTGTAGATAAAAAAATTCAACAATTTCAATTCATGAATAAAAATGAAACATTATAAAAACTAAAAGAACTAAAATTTTAAGTTTAATTTAGACTAAAGGTGCAATTCTTCAAAGATATGATGGATTATCAAAGAGAGAGAATGATGATGACCTTGAACCACTGTAGTTCTCTTTGCATTTGCAGAGCAGCTCCTGAGATTTGATCAAGCTTAAGCTGGGATTGGGGTTCTAGTTGCCCTGCCAAATGTAAAATATTATTACAATAGTTATCTCTGTAATTAGGAAAATCATACTTGAGAGCCTCTAGCCCATATATGAGGCTAAAAAGTTTTTCTTGTCGATATGCAACTGCGATATGGAAAATGGTTCTGTTGTCCTTGTCAACACTACCCAATAAATCTGGATTAGTTTTAATGATTTCGACAATAAACTCCGTCATCCCCCGCTGAGCAGCGTTGATGATTGCCTCAACCACTGAACTTTGATGAATTTCTTCAACATTTAAAGCAGATATCGAGTTAGAGATCAAAAGCAGAAGCTCATGTGCATAGAAATGGGTCTGCTTCAAATCATATATTTGCTTGATTCCTGCACAAATAAATATAGTTTTTAACTAACGAATTACTAGAATAGAAGAAATGGTTGCTAGAACAAGAGTTGAATATATATATATATATATATATATATATATATATATATATAAAACAAAAGGCCTTAAGCAATCAGGTAACACACCAAAGAGTTTCAAGAGAGATGACCGCAATCCATGTAGTTTCCCTTCCCCTGCAAGAGTGACCTTAATATATAAAAAGGAAATTTTATGTTATAAGAAAACCAAATGTTAAGAAATAAGTGTGCTCTTATTTATTCAAGTGATGAAGAACATACCTTGCATCATGAAGTTTTTCGTTTCCTTTTGATCTTGTTGTTGGTGAGTATTTATACGAACGTTGTCATCACTAGACAAAACTTCGGATCGTTTCACCTTTAAACCTTCGACAATAATGAACTATTTTAGTTAGTATTTTTGTACATTCACCACTACTTTTATTTTCATAGGTGCAAACCCATTTATTTTTGAAGCGTTTTGTGCACATTTTCTTTGGGCTAAAATCAACTTTTGGGGCGGCCTAAACATTACACAAGTTTTAATTTTAGGATCTCATGTTGTATCAGTTTCATTCAATTTAGGCTTATTAGTAACGAACTTAACCATGAACCAATATTTAACCAAATTGAAAGACAATTTTTTATGCCACACGGATTTGTTTAACCACATGCAGTAAATGACGTGGCATGATATTATAACGGTAAATTTATTTCCAAAAAAATAGGGAATGGATTAAAAATAATAAAAACAAAATTGATTGTTTATCTCTATAAGGCATAACATATATTCGGCCTTAGATGACAATAATTTCTCCATCCATAACATTAAAGATGTAGAGATTCGAGGAAGGTCGGGGTGTCCATGTGGCACCCCTCCATTCCTCCATTTTCTACTTTTTTTTTTCATTTTTTTATTAATTTATATTTTTATTCTTTAATGTTTTTATTTGTTTTTTATTTTAAATTTTTTAGATGAATTTTATGAAAAAAAATCATTAGAAATAGGATAATAAAACAATCCGTATCTACTTGGTTTAATCCGTATTAATCTAACATAGGTGCATTTTTTTTACATCGAGATCAAATCAAATTTTTTTAAATGAAATCGGGTTGGAGATAGATTTAAGGTGCTCCACTTCATCTCAGGTGTTCACGTGACACCTCCCTCCTTCTTCTTTTTTTTTTTTTCATTTTCTTTATTTTTTATTATTTTTTTGTTTCCTTCTTATTTTTAAATTTTTTTTACATTTATTTTTTTATTAAATAAATTTTATAATAAAAAATAATTTAGATAGAGATAACAAAATAACATGTATCCGATAGGTTTCAGTTTGTCTCGATTCAATTTGCGCGTTTTCTTTTAATTCAAGATAATTGGATTGAGTTTTTTTTCTTTTCAATCGAGCTCAGGTCAAAGCAAAATTTTTGATATTATACCTCAATCTTGATATATAAAAAATATATTTTATTATTTATTTAATTTTATATTTATATATGTATTTTATTTAAAAGTATTATCTAATACTTTAATTTAATAAATTCACGTGTCACCCTATTTGATTTTTAAAATTTTATTTATTAGATAAATTGTATAAGAAAAAAAGTCAATGGATGTAAAGATGACAAAAACAACCTATGTACAATAAGTTTTGATTTGCCACTATCTAATCGATGTGTTTTTTTTCTCTTTAATAAAGATTGAGTTAGTTTTGCCTCTTTGAACTATTTAAATCAAGTCGAGATATATAAAAGAATATGTTTAATTATGTATTTAATTTATATTTATATATTTATTATATTAATAAAATATTATTTAATAGCTTATTGTAATAAAAATAAGTTATAATTTGTATTTAATAGCTTATTGATAAAAATATTATTTAATAGCTTATTTTAATAAACTGAAATTTTGTAATTTTTGTTTTTTGTTTTCCTTCATAAAATTTACTCAAAAAATCTATTCAAGTAATAAAGATTGTTCATATATTTCTTTTAATTCACTTAGTGAACGTCCATAAGAAAACCACATACTAGGTATTTGTTAGATTTCGAATTCACATTACATTGAGTTTGAATAATTTTAAGTTCAAATTATTCTATAGTTGAATCAATCATTTTCGATTTAGATTGTCTTGAGTTCCAACTAGATTTGGATTAGGATGAAAATAAAAGGGTAATTAAATTTTCATAAAAATTAGTTATTTTAATTTTTAGTTTTAATTTTGGGTTATTATTGATTTAGATATATTATAATGATTTTAGGGACTGCTAGTCGAATTTTAAAAAATTAAATCAAAACTTGAGGAGTCGTCATTAATCTTTTTAGTTAAATATGATTGATCATCTAAAAAGTTGATCATCTAAAAATTGAATCAATCATTTTCAATTTAGATTTTCTTGAGTTCCAACTAGATTTGGATTAGGATAAAAATAAAAGGGTAATTAAATTTTCATAAAAATTAGTTATTTTAATTTTTAGTTTTAAGTTTGGGTTATTGTTGGTTTGGATCTATTATAACGATTTTAGGGATCGCTAGACAAATTTTAAGAAATCAAATCGAAACTTGGGGAGTCGTCATTAATATTTTTTTTTAAATATGATTGTTCATCTAAAAAGTTTATTTTTTTAATAAAATATTAAAAGTTAATTAATAATTATTAAAAATTACAATTTTTAGTCTGCAAAAACAAAGTTAGGTTCGAGAGTATAATTATACATGAAGATGGATTAAACCCCTACAATAGCCATTTTAAAAACAATGTCAATTGATCATATGTTATCTTTTTGCTTTGATAGAAATGGTCTTAATTTAGATATTTAAAACAATTTCTTTAATTTTTTATTTTTTGCAAAAAATCTTTTTAAAACCTTTTACTTAGGAATAAAATAAAAGTCTTCATTTTCGAATATTTTGTAAATTCTCCAACATCTAAGCAGAATTTCAAAAAATAATCCTCCATTTAGGACTCTCATAATCATTCTCAAAATTTGGCATAATATTTCTTCATAATAATAATTGTTGAGAAATCCGAAAAAATATCTAGATAGGATCTCAAAAATTATTCTCACTTAGAAACATTAGTTTTTATTTTTAAAAATCATTTTTTAAATCTTTATTTTATCTCTTCACATTTATTACCAACTATGATGCACGTAATACCATATATGAAATAAATGACATCAATAAAAATAAAACAATGCAAACAACCAATTTCATTTCATTCTTTTCAAATCTTTTATTTTTATATTTCTTATCATTATTTCTTTGACAAAATATTTAGAAATAAAATATTAAATGTTAAAAAAAATTCCTCAATTCCTTAATATCTAGGTGGAATTTAGGATAATTGATCATTTCATTAAAGAATTTGATAATAATTCTTTTAAATAAAAATATTATTTCTTAGTAAAAATAATCATTTAAAATTCCTCCAATATCTAATTAGGATTTCCAAAATTATTTTTACTTAGAAATACTTTCTAATTTTTTTTTCTTTCCAAAAAATGATGAAAATTATTTCATTAAAAAAATTTTTACTCAAGCATTCACATTTTTATTTTAGTTAATACACCATTCTTTTAAAGCAAGCAAATGAAATAAAAATAAAAATAACAAAAAAATTTGAAAATAGCAAGCCCACATTCGTAAAAATAGTAGTATATCTCACTTTGGTTTTTATCCAAACCAAGAATTGAGGCCCAATTTTTTATGGATTGTAGGCCAATTGGGTTGGGCTTGTCTGATATGGGTTGTAGGTCAGGTCATATCAAGGCCAACAACAGCCAGTTCGGGTCAAGGGAAATTGAGTCAAGTTGACCTGCTTAGTTCTTTCTTTTTTTAATAACTATAAGACATTGTTTTTTTTTTTCAATTCATTTCCTTCCTTCTTAAATAAAATTCTCAATTCCCCTCCAAAAAATAAATCAAATAGCCATCCACTTATACCAAGTTTTCAGCGACCTGAATGCGGGTCTTACTTTCAACCTAAAATTTCCCTAAATACTCTCCTTAGCCTTTTTGTCACAAACTCAAGCTTGGATTTCCCAAAATCAACCTCTAAAACCCATTTCTAAACTTTGAGACTGGAACTTCAAACCGTCAAAAACCACATTTGCTGCCATTCAATACTTCTAAAATTTTAGTATGTTGTTGCCTTCTTCCCCTTTGTCCTTTTCACCTTTTGGATCTCTCGAAAGCCTCTCAACACCATGAACCACCCCATGTTGCTGCTACTCCTACCGTCATTTTCAGCCTAGAAAACATCCCTTTCTCCCACTTGTTTTATGAACTTGAAAAGACCTCCCCTAAGACACCTTTGGAATCTTAGGAATTTTCTTGATTGAAATTCTCTCCTTTCATTTCCAGATTTTGGCTTTTTTTTTTTAGTGTTGATGTTACTATTCCTCACTCCAAGGGATTTGTTTGATTTTTCTTGTTTTTATTTTGTTTTTAAGTTATTGAGGTAGTAGGATTGATTTACAGTGAGGTGTGGCTGCTGGGACTTTTTAGGGGTATTGACGTGGGGCTGTCAATGTGGTGCTTGATGGTTTCGACTAGTTACTATTAGGTTGATTTTGAGAAGGTTGTTAGTGGTGGTTTTTTCCTTTGGTAAGGGATGTTTTGGTGGGTGCTTGGTGGTGAAGCTGATGGTAGTGTTGTTGGGTGAGATCTTATAGTTAATGGTGGTGTAACAGTAAAGCATTAAAGGTATTTGGGTATGAAGGAAAGGAGAATTTTTGTTTTGATTATAAGTAATGTAGGTAGTTTAGAATGTCGTACATCCCACATTGAATAAAAAGATTTAATTATTGATGAACAAAATCAATTTTTACATTAATTTTATTCATATTTTAAATAATTATGTTTGAATGAAATAATTATCTTATGACAAATAGTCATAATTATTTAAATATAAATAGATTATTATTCATAAAGGTCATGATTATACAAAATGTCATAATCATCTGAATAGAAGTTTATGTCTGTTTATTCATTATAAATAAATCTTTTAGCATAACTATTTTCACTATTTCTAATTAGAGAGTTTGAGGCTTTGTTGCATCCTAAAGGCATAATTACCTTTAAGAAAATATTCTTCACACCTCAAAACTAAAATTTTTATCTGTTATTTCTCTGCTCTTATTTATTTTTTCTAACAATTTAAAGGCAATTACAAAAAATTTATATTTTGCATAAGGAAGATACAAGGAAAAGAAATTGGCATGATTTAGAGATTAATATTAGAGAAGGCTCAAGGTGTCAAAAGATTAACGTTTCTATGGACCAAAATATTAATTTTCATAAAAATCTTCATTAAAGGTATGTATTTTATTTCTTGCATGATTGTTGATAAAATGATTGACTGAATGAGATAAACACATT